AAGTCGAGCAAAATTCTAGTTTCCCGTGGAAGTCAGGCAAAATTCCGGCATCATTTGGAGTTCGGGCAGAACTTCGGCGGTGGTCGAGGAGGAGTCTCTTCCCTCCTATTCTTCTCTTCTCCTTTTCTTCTCCACTTCTTCTTGCTTGGGTCCCCCTCTCATGAGAAATGAGTGGTCTATTTATAAATTTTCTGGAGTGGCATGGCCCGTAAATATATGAGATATCAGGGGAAAATATGGAGTGGTTTGGATGAACAGAAAATTTAAAAACCTTCAATTGTTGATCATTAATATGACATTTGAAGGTCTTAATGACTTCAGAATTCAGCGATCTTGGGCTCGTTGGATTCATTTCATCGAGCCGCTCAATTCGACTAGAAGCTCGTCAAGTTCGGAGACCATTTGGTAACTCAAATTGTGCTACGAGCATATGAACTTTTCAACAGCACTTCAGGTCCTTGATTTGGACTCATTTGGGCTCGGATTGAGTTGAATTTAGTGTCGTTGGGTTTGTATTTCTGAGACGCTTATTTTGACTATAAGTTTGCTAAAATCAGAGTTCAGGTGACCCCGGATTTAATTTTTGAACTTTCCGGCTTGGTTTTTGCCTCGAGATTTGTGCCCGATCAAGATAATTTTTCGATGACATATCAGGAATAGTTAGAAAATTAAATTATTATTATTTTGTATATACAAGTTATAATTTATTTCATAGTTCATTTGTTGACGTGTTTTTATGTATGTTGTACTAAAAAATTTAGGATGATTGTGGGTAGTTGTAGCAGAAACCTTCACGTAACAACTATTATGTCATTAAATTTTGCATAAATTAAGTACTCTTTGAACAAAAATCATATTTTTTTTCCAATTCGAAATTTAGGTATTGAGCATGACCAGACAATCAGTAGTACTTGCAGGTGGAATGAAGCGCACATTAGATAGCTCCTTACATGCAACATTAACACTTATATAGATGAATTAGATGGGCTTCTCGAAAGTCAGGTCTACACTACATAGTAGATGTTCAAGCATAAATTGCAGAAATATGCTTGGCTGGCTCATGTGCGTTTGATTAGTTGGATGAGGTGGAGCGAGACTTGCTCGATAGGGTGATACAATAATTTGGATATGTCCTCAATACTGATGTACAACCTATGAATCACAGTTTTATACGTGTCGACGGGGGAGGAAAGGTGGACACAGACTATATATTATCACACTTATGTTGGCATGTGGGAGGATGGACGTTCATACATTAAATAAGGAGTGATGATTGGACTTGAAAGGGAGCGTTTCATTCAACAATAATTGCATTGGTTCAGGTCTTAGACTACACTTTACATATTGAAGCCTCCAACAGAGCCTCCCACCACATGCTATCATCGAGCACTGTTGGAGTGCTATCTGGTTAGTGATATAAACTTCATTTCTAAATATTATTTTGGGTGCCAAAATTACTACTTGGCTGGTTGACTGAACTTCAAATTTTATAATCTTGCAATGAACATACTTTCTTAATACAGAGAGCACTTTACATGTTATTTTCAATAAAGATGATGATACATACATCCACAAGGTTGTCAATAGAATTGTAGAGTTTAATCAAAAGATGCGCAGATAGATGTATATTGCCGATGAGCACTGCATAGAAGCTGCAAAAGCTGATTACACATCCTTTAGTGGCACTCATCCATTCGTAGATACTCATTTCATGGTTATAGGGCCTTCTTCATACAAGGATTAGGGGCCTTCTTAGGATCTCTGTAGTCATTTAGCACAACAAACTATTCCATCATGGCACACTCTATATTATGTTCCATCCAATATACTACCGACTGTTGAAGACTCAATCGCTGATTATGTAAAGCGGCATGAGCTACGAGGCAGACCACTACGTGTGCTGCAGCACTACACGTATGGTACTAACGTCATACCGCACATCGTGACGAAGTAGCATTATAGACCATTTTGCTGTATTTGAAGGCATTACAAGTCATTGTTATAATTATCACTTTTTGCTTCCAAGTATCATATACTGTTCTATAATTTTCTGAGATAACAACTTGGTTTTGAAATCTCAAGCAATAGAATGTTTGGAACCGTTAAATTTTGAGATATAAAACACATAATATTCATTACTTGACCATGATGTTAAACAACTGAATAAAGCATAAGCAATAATCCTTTGAACTTACGCTGCAAATCTAGCCAATCGGTTGCATCAAAATTATTTCTTCTTGTTTCTCCATTAAGAATTAACTTCATCCGATTTCTATAAAAATTAAGAATAAATTCTTGCTCTTGTGACAACCAGTGATGCTTAAGAATGATGTGGTCCATGTCATCTGCCGACGTTTCAAATTTATTAAAAGAAGCATCTTGTCCTTCATATTGTAGCTGATGGTAACGCATATGGAGGATGTGAAGACCTATGAAATTGCATTCATATGCGTAGAACCTCCTCTTTAAATTTATCCAACCTTGACCATTCAAGAAATTCTTTGTCCAGTACCCATTGATTCTCATGGATTGTTCATGCAAGTTCATATGTAAACAATCACAATCTTTTGTCTACTCATGCATGCAACATCTAAAAATTTTATGTTCCCTCTCCTTCATCTCTATAAGAGACTATATGGACATCTTCCCATATATTGGTGCAATCGTCTGCTTTCATTTTTCAGTAAATCTTTGATTGGAATGTCTCTAGTGCTCTAAAAAATTGACCAATTCATTAAAAAAAAAAAAAAATTTAATTTTAAACCTCAAGTAATGTGGAAAAATCACCTCAATATAGCAACTCCAATGTATCTTCTTCACTAACTTCCTTGTAGCCCTTAAAAAGGTCTTTGACATAATAAATTTATTCCCAAATAATATATATATATATATATATATAGAGCATTGTTCTAACAACTCATTGCAACAAGCAAATTCAAATAACTCAAATTAAAAAAAAAACAAACAAACATTTATTAATAAAGTGACAAAAATAATAAAGATGAAGTAGTAAAGACCTGATGATTGAATAACACAACTTTTCAGCTCAAGTAGAATTTCTTAAAAGAAGCATCCAATCAGAGGCGGAACCCCATTGTCTGCAGGGGGGCAATTGCCCCCCCCCCCCCTCAAAAATTATTTATTTATTTATTTATTATAAAATTCTTTAGATGATTTGTCCATAAATTTATATTTTACTCTTTATTATAATGATTTTAAGGAAATCGCCCCCCCTAAAAGTTTTAAAATATTATGGTATTTAGGCAATTGCCCTTGTATAATTAAACACATTATGTAGAGGTGTTATTGCCAAGGGAATGATGAACAATATATAAAGAGAAATAGTAAATCAAAATTTGTTCTGGGGGCGCTGCCGCTTGACCCCGCGACCTTATCGGGCAGGTCGAACCCCGCTAGGTGGCGCTGCACCCTTGGACCCCTGATATATCTGCCAACAGTTATAAGTTTGCCCCCTCCCCCACTTAAAAATTATAGCTGGTTCCGCCCCTGCATCCAATGCTATCAATAATGACTCTGCACTGATTCATATGCATCTAGCACTAACTACTCACAATAACTAATGGAAAACACTAGCAAACTAATAGGGCTCTATAATAGTATTATAATAATAAATTTATTACACTTGTTCATGATACATATTAACCATATTAAGATTCCTAAATTCATCTCATAATTCATTCTTCAATTAGTGTTGACAAGGTATCTAAGCAAAAGTAATTCTCACTAATTCTACAATATCTGAATTTTTTGAAGTAGGGATGTAAAATAAGTTCCTTAATTCTCATTGGATATTAGCCTAATTTGACTATGAGCAAATATGGTTGTATAATAAAATAAATGGGCAAGTTCTTAAAAGAATTTATCAATGTTTGTCTCCTCTTGACTGGGCGACTTACAACAACAATATCAAGCCTTTATCCCACTCTGTGGGGTTGATTACATGAATTTTTTTTTCATCGTGTTCTGTTAAGAGTTAAATTCTCATTTAAATCTAATAAAGAAAGTTCAATTCTAATATTTTCTAACAAAGTTTTTTAGGTATACCTCTATCTTTCTTAACATAAGTCAAATCTAATATATCTACTTTCCTAATGGGGTCATCGGAAGACTGTTGTTTTATGTGACAAACCATCTCAGCCGGCTCTCTCTAATCTTATCTTCCACTTGAGCTACTCCAACATTTTCACGTCTTTTTTTATCATGATTCTAAGAGTAAATCCATTCATCCACCTGAGCATTCTCAACTCAGAAACGCTTAATATTAAGCATTTCTTTTAATGACCAACATTCTGTAACACAAAACATTGTAGATTTAACCACCATCACATAGAATAATCCCTTAAGTTTCAAGGGGACTTTTCATCACACAACAAGTAAGATGCATTCCTCCTCTAACTTATTCTACTAATAATATCATCATCTATTTCATCATCACTGTGAACAATAGATCTAAAATATAAAAAATATTGAATGGCGACATACATTAAATAGTTTTTTTTTTAAATGGTTGTATCATGAAATGTATGGGGCTAGTTTTTTTTATTAAAATAATTTAATGTAAGTCGCCCGGTCAATGGACGACTTACATTAAATAATTAAATTATGGAGGTTAACGGTTAAATGGGCCAACACTATCTAATCAATTGTCAATCATCCGTTCAACAGACAGTTATGTCAATTTTTAATTTTTTTTTTATACTTTTTTTGTGACGAGAAAACACTATCCTTAGGCTAGTGAAAACCGCGATTGACCTAGCATGCAACCCACACCAATTTACACGGGCCAATACTTAAAACTTTCACTGCTTGCTAAGGGATTCCAACCAGGAACCTAGGCTTTGCCCAGCCGGCTTTTTAATATACTTACTCATAATTATTTTTTTAATTAGGCTTACTGTAAAAATTTGCCAAAATTATGCTTTGTAGTTTGTACACAGAGGTGGACCCGAGAACAAAAATGGCTTCAACGGGTAAGAATAGTAAAAGATGGAGGTGAGTATGCCAAGAGAGCAAGCAGGAATCTTGCCGTCTCCTCAGCCGCGCAACAGGGAGTCTCTCTCTCCCTCTGTAGGTCCGAGAGTAACGCCGGTCAACGAGGGACCTCTCAACGTCATCCTCGTCGAGAATAACTCACCCGACCAAAATATCGGGCTACTCGCTCTCAACATCTTAATCGGCTGCTCAGTTCTGTGCCCGCTTAGAGATCCGAGCACTGATAAAGAGAGAAGATGAGGAGAATGCTCCTACCATTCTGCTGAAACAATAAAGATTTGTTCTTTGAGTGTTTTCTTCTTGCAGGAGCTTGAAAGAGTGATTTTTCTGTAAAAAGATACGATCTTTCATCTCATCGGTTTAGAAATCTCAGAAAAAAGGTATCTTTTTTTATTTCTCCATTTTCATTTGAGAGATGAGTTTCCTTTTTTTTTTTTTTTTTTTTTTTCTGAAGTGTTGTTTGTGTTTTGGCTCACTGAAGGTGTGTGCACTGCGGTTATTTGGTGTGAAGTCTGAAGAAGACGAGATGGGTTGAGTTTACAAATAGGGGTTGGCTGTTGGTAAGAAAAGCTTTTAGGTTATGTGGAATTTTACTCATTACTGCAAAGAGATTTTAGCTCTGAGGAAAAAGGGGGAGGGATCTGTTTACCTTTTCTTTCAGCATTTTTTATGGTCTATTTATGAAACTTCTAATTGGTTTTTATCATTTTGAATTCATTTTGTTTCAGAAAATTTTGGGAAGTAAAGGTTTTAGCTTTTGTTACATGGAATTTAAAGCATTTCTATGGTTTTATTATATCAAAATCATGTTGGGATAAACAACTTTTTTATATAAATAATTTTCAGAAATCTTTTTGGGAAATACGGAGTTTCTCCCATTTCTCTATATCATTATGTAGATTTTTGAATTCTCCTTTTCATTAGAAATGATTCTACTGAGAAAAAAAAAGTCTAGTGTTCTGTTCAATTTTTTGTCAGCGTTTTTTAATAACAACTATTGAGGTTGTTCTTTCCATCCTTTTGTAGTAATTACTTTTCCCACGTAGTTTAAAGCTTTTACCTGTTTTTCCTTCTCATTTTGAAGTGATTTTGTTTCAGAAAGCTCTTGAAGATTTTACTAAGTGAAAAAAAAAAGAAAAGAATATAGGGAAGTTTTTCTGTTTATCCTTTTTAGGGACTAAATTTCCTACGTAGTATTTAAAGGTTTCATCTATTTTTTATCATTCCTGAATCATTTTGTTACAGAAAAGTTTTGGAAAATATGAAATTTAGCTTTTTTTACATATAATAGTAAACTTTGATTTTGATGTTTTTATCATTTTGATACATCTTCTTAGGAAATACAAAATTTATTCCATTTCTCCAAAAAATTATGGAGTTTTTTGCTCTTTTTTTAATCATTAGTTCAGAATTCAGATTCTACTAAGGAAAAAATGCTAGGGATTTGGTTAGTGATCTGTTTTTTTGATATTTTTATCTTTTAAATTAATAGGATTTCTTGTAATCTCATTATTGAAGAAACCCTCCTATTGCACCAAACAGTAACAAAGCTTGTGAATTTCCAAAGGAAATGATGAATGACAATGACTTGGATTCTCAACTATGGCATGCTTGTGCTGGTGCAATGGTGCAAATGCCATTAATAAATTCTAAAGTATTCTACTTTCCCCAAGGCCATGCTGAGCATGCACAAAGCCCAGTTGATTTTGGCAATTCTCTAAGAATTCCTCCTCTTATTCTTTGTCGTGTTAACTATGTAAAATACATGGCTGATAGTGAAACTGATGAGGTCTATGCCAAAATTTTCATGACCCCTCTAAGAGGCATTGAGCTAGATTATTGTGAAGATGATGAACTTACCTTAGGAAGCAACGGGTCAGAATCACAAGAAAAACCTTCATCTTTTGCAAAAACATTGACCCAATCTGATGCTAACAATGGTGGCGGTTTCTCTGTTCCGAGATATTGTGCAGAGACTATCTTCCCTAGATTGGATTACTCTGCTGACCCGCCTGTCCAAGAAGTTCTAGCCAAGGATGTCCATGGCAAGATTTGGAAATTTCGACATATCTATCGAGGGACACCTCGCAGGCACTTGCTCACCACTGGCTGGAGCAATTTTGTCAACGAGAAGAAGCTAGTGGCCGGCGATTCCATTGTGTTCTTAAGAACCAAGAATGGTGATCTTTGCATGGGTATTCGACGAGCAAATAGAGGATTTGGAAATGGATTCGAGTCCCCTATAAGTTGGGATCATCCTATGGGAAAATGCATGTATGAGGGACTCTCTATTTTATTGAGGGAGGAGGAGAGCAAGTTTATAAGGGGAAACACTCATGGAGATTCAAACATGAGGCCAAGGGGTAAAGTGAAGGCATGCACTGTGATTGAGGCCATTACACTTGCAGTTAATGGTCAACCTTTTGAAGTTGTTTACTATCCAAGAGCTAGCACTCCAGAGTTTTGTGTAAAGGCATCAGCAGTGAAAGCTGCAGTGAGGATCCAATGGTGTACAGGCATGAGGTTTAAGATGGCATTTGAGACCGATGATTCCTCTAGGATAAGCTGGTTCACAGGGACAGTATCTGATTCTCATGTTTCTGATCCTACAAGGTGGCCTGGATCACCATGGAGGCTTCTTCAGGTACATTGGATGTGTTACTCAAAGATTTCTATTCTAATTTTTTCTTTATTAGTTCATTTCATTGGATGTGTTTCCATATTTATCTGCTCTTCGCAATATTTGCTAATTTATAGTTTTAGCTTTGATTAGACATGATTTTGTTGCTTCTCTTGTTGGAGTGAACTTTGATGAACTGTCTTTTTGTGAAAGAACTTAGTTATTTTTGTTCAGGAATTAAACTATTTGCTATTGGTGCCTTTTTTCACTTGATAATTTAGTTGGATATAGGAATTTGCTCCTTTTGTAGTGCATTGAAATGCATGACAGAAAATCATGATCACTTTGAGTTTGAGAATCTGATGATTTGAAGCCTTTTTTTTTGTCATTTATCAATTTATGATATATTCTCTTCAAATTTATGATATATTCTCTTCAAACTATAGCTCTCAATCACCACTTCCCTCTTGCTCAAGAACTTTAGCTTCTCTATCGAGCTTAGTCTTCATTTGAGATTGCTTTTTTATTGCTTTTTAAAGCATTTTTTTAGTAAAAAAATAAATTTTTTATACTAGAAAATTACTTTAAGAAACAGTTAAAAAACCGTCCCAAACGAAACCTTATACTTTCTCGTAAATTGTTTTGCAGGTTTCTTGGGATGAGCCTGACCTCTTACAAAATGTAACAAGTGTAAGTCCATGGTTAGTGGAACTCATCTCAAACATGACAACCATCAACTTAGCTCACTTGTCGCCTCCGAGAAAAAAAACTCGGAGCTCACAGCTTTCTGATTTCCCACTCGATGCTCAACTTCCAACCTCCATAATCCCCAAAAACCTCCTTACTCCCAGCAGCAGCCCTTTGTGTTTTCTCCCAGATAACACTCCTGCAGCTGGTATACAGGGAGCCAGGCATAGTCAGTATGGATTATCTTTACCAGAACTGCGCTTTTTTCATGGACTCGATCACTTTCCTCCACCTTCGAGAATCTCTACTGGCATCAATGGTGGCGATAATTCTTGCATGTTGACCATAGAAAATTCTCAGAAGGGGAACAAGGAATGCAAGAAACGTCAGTTTATGCTCTTTGGAAAAGTTATCCTCACTGCAGAAGAGCTCTCAACTATCAACAAATACAGCCCATCAGGTTTGAATTCGATGAAGATGATGTCTGATAATTCATCTTCTGAAGCGCTTTATTTGAATAAAGACAAGAAAGTTAATGAGCTTGGACTGGAGACTGGACACTGTAAGGTGATCATGGAGTCAGAGAATGTAGGCCGAAACCTTGACCTTTCTACATTTGGTTCATATGAGGAGCTGTATAGATTGGCAAACATGTTTGGAATTCGAAAGTCTGAGCTTGCAAGCCGTTTACTTTACCGAGATCCAGCTGGGGGTGCTCAAACGCACTGAAGATAAGCCTTTTGTGTAAGTTTTGTTATCTATCTCATTTATGATGCTTCCTTCTTCTGAATTTGGTTGTAAAGCTGATACGAGGAAAGAAAGTTTTTTTATAAATTTCTTACGAGTATTAGAGAGAGAGAGAGATGAATATTTTCTTATAGCTTTTGTCAAAAGCAAATTCTGAAAGCAAAAAATTTTGAAAAATAGTATTCAGATGACTGTAGCTCCAAATAAATTCTTAAATATTCTTACTCAGATTACCCCAAACAAATTATTAGGGTATGTTTGGGGTGTTTGCTGTATTTGATTAATTTAGTTGTATTGAAGTTATTTTGGAAAAAATAATTTAGAAATTCTTATCCTATAAAGGAACTTTTTATTATATAAATTTTGTAAGCAATGAAAAAGTAATAGCTAAATAAAGTTATAGTTGAAGTTTAAAAAACGAAGTAGCGAGAAAGCTATTCAAATAAACTCTTAGGTTTTGTTTGGTACGGCTTTCTTTATGCTTCTTAAAGCAGAAGCTTGCTGCTTTAAGAAGCATAAAGAAAGCCGTCCAGGCTTCATTTGAAGTAGCTTTATTTTTCAGATCATAATCACAATTTTTATTTGATCATTATTTTTTATTGCTTTCAAAAAATTTGTACTAAGAAATTGCTCTCTATAATAATTTTATAAAATTATAAGAAAATTATCTCAAAATGAAGTCTTAGGCTTCATTTGAGATAACTTCTTGTCATTATTTTTTTTATGCTTTTAAGAAATTTTTATATTCTAAATTTTCTGATGCTTGTTTCTATATGAATAACAAAAGCAGTTTAAGGTACTTGAAAGAAAAAATCATAAAAAATCCCTTGTAGTTTATGTATTTTTTTTCTTATATAAATCATTAAAAATTCAACCTTTTTAATAATTTATAGATTATTAATGAAGACTATAACATTGACGATAAAATTCGATTTAATAATCATGATTTCTTCTGGTACTGCGCAGTGAGTTCATGAAGGGAGCGAGAAAGCTAACCATTATAATGAAATGAATTCAAGCAGCGAAGATGGCGCCATGTTGCAGCAGAACAGACGCTTCTTTCAAGTGTACAGAGCTGTCTATTCTAAGTTTGTTTTTGAGCATTAATTATGTCAGTTTGCACTACTCAGAGACTTTAAGTATGAAACTTAGTATTTATTCTCTTTCTAAACTTCTTTATAGAAATATCACATATGATATTCTAATGTGTTTAGTTTATGCAGTTCAATCTTGATCTTTTGGTTGTGAATTTTGATTATCAATTTAGAGGTCTTGAATGAGTTTTGTGTATGTGATGTGTATGTGATTTTAATTTCATTTTGGATGATTTTTTTACTGCTTTTCTAAAGCAGCTTTCTAATAAATAAAAATTAAATTTTTGTATTAGAATGTTACTTTAAGCAGTAAGTAAGCCGTCCCAAATGAGGCCTTTATCTTAATTGGCCTTAATGTAAAAAAAAATTGTTTATTTTAATTAATTTTGAAGCTTAGAGGTTTTTTTGGATCACTTTTAATTTTATTTTTAAATTTTATCTTGTTTATATAAAAATAAAAATATATTTGACTCTTAATAGAATTTAATGGAGAAAAAAATATTCATGTTGTTGAACTCACAGAACAGGATAAAGACTTGTTATTATATTGTTATTACATATATCCTAAATAGTGCTTTCCATTTAAAAAACAAAAGATATTTAAATTAACTTTTGATAACTTTAAAAAATAGCTTATTTATTTTCTAAAAAAAAAAAAAAAATAGTGATTTGAAACGACCCTTCGAACTTTTCATTTGGTTTGAAAAAAATTAGTGAGAACACAAATATAATTTACTCAATAATATTATATTTGGTGTTTTATTCTAATATAACTAATATATAATTAGTTCTTTTCAAGGAAATATGAATAAAAAAATAGATTTGTTTTCATTGTCTAGCATTGTTTTGCATTTGAAGCTTTGCTAGTAGGAGTGTTTATTAGCCTAAGCTATAAATATATTTGTAGTAGATAAATTTTGAAAGTCAACTTCATGTCAATTGAGGAGTTAGGATCAATATTGCACAAAAAATTTTTATTTATTAATTTTGAAATAGCTATCATTTTTTATAATTTTTGGGTGAAAAATAAGCGGGTATTTTAATGATTTTAAAAAACTTTAGAATGGTAGCAATAACATTCAATTTGATAATTATTGTTTGTATTAGAGTAATAGCGCCATTCCCTCCATATAGATAACCACATTGTGTTAGAAGCATCATATCATTAACCCTAACAATCTAATCTTCGGAACTATGACAATACTTATTTTGGGACCAATCTATATATAGATAATAAAATTTCAAAGTTTATGATAGCAATCAAGCATTGGCAAACCCTAAAAACATGGAATAAAAGAAGTAGAGTGGGTGATTTGGAGCTATTTGGTTTAGGCTTATTTAGCATCATAAGTTAGCTTAGACTTTCTAAATGTAATTTTGAGTCATTCTTGTGATGGTTAATCTAGACTAGACTTTTTCTCTCATGAGGGATAAGCTAGGACCCCATTTAAGCACATTTTCACTTAGCTGCCCCTTCATAATAACCAGCACAAGAATGACATAATATAGAAACCTAGAATTTGATAAATATCTCTTACGTAAAGATAGTCTGGCTACATTGATATTGATGACATTTCATAACAACTGACCAATTCTACTCCCTAAAAAAAGGGTAGGAGATCAAATGACCCAAAGATAATATCATACAACTAACAAAAACATTAAATTAATTTCTCATCAACTAAATAAATAAATAACTAAATAAGAAACAAATCTCTTTCACTCAATATCTCAACCAACTAAGTGGGTGAAAATTAATTCCCCCTTTTCATTTTCCCCACATTGAATTCTTTCCAACCAAACAATAATTCTTAGATCATCAAAAACATAAGTAGCTTGAATTGAGGAAACTCTTAATGAGTACTATTAATAACTAAGATGAATGAAAGTCTGTCAAAAATATCTGCCTGCTTTTAATTATTATAGGGATGGCTATGACGTTCTCACCATTGGTTTGTTTATTATATCATTTTTTTTAACGGGTATTTGCTCATCGTCACCCTCAAAGGAAACTCACAACTAATCCCTTGATTAACCTATCAGCAATCAACCTCACAGGCGCAGTGCCACAAAGATATTTTCTCCCATTTAAGAAGTCGCACCGTATGAGTTGAGGGTTCCCAATCACGCTCATCCACCAACTCGAGAAATCATTATGTGAGGACACCAGACGATCCGAAGGCCAATCATAATACACCACGTCACCTGGTACCCAGCGTTATTGAGCACCGGTACCAAATAAAAAGATGATATGACGCATTCTGATTGACTTCCGGATGATAATATCCGCACCAACTCAGCTCAGCCAGTTGGGATGTTTATTTTATTATTTAAATATGTTCCATTGAGTTTCCATCACTTAATGACCGATTGCATTAATTCTGTTGTTGGGATATCTGACCTATTTCCTCATGATCATTAATTAATTAATTAATTACAGCTGGTTTTGGGCATTACAACCCGGCATTTCTTTAGCCAACCACCGCCATGTTCTCGGTTCGCTCGTCTTGGGAAAACGGTCACATTTTTATCAGTTTTAGAATATGATTTGACCCCTTAAGCTTTTGTTTATTACAAATTTGGCCATCTAATTTTTTGAAAGTGATTTTTTTTTTCATTAATGTGATATTCTCTCTCTCTTGTACTTAAATTTCTCAGTTTTATTTTCAACTGTTGAGATATAAATTAGGGCACTCATTATTCAGATTTTTTAGAATGAAATTAAAAATTATTGAATTTATCTTTAAATGAGTAAAATATATAAAAAATTAATCAAAATTTATATTATAATCATTTTAAAATAAATTTAATAACTTTATTGAAAGAAAAAAAAATATAAATCCTTAAATTTATTTTGGAATTAGTGTAAGACATAAGTTGATTGATTATTTATATATTATATTCACCTAAAAAAATTGAAAAAAAAATCCCTATATTTTTTCATATATATATATAAAAAAAATCCCTATATATATATGCCTATTTAATATGAGTATTAAATGAATTAAAAAATTAATTACCTTCGTGGTAAATAAATATTATATTTTAGCCATCGAAGGACTAGAAAAACTCAATACATATTTCTATTTATTAATAAATAGTTTTTTTATTGTTCATAATAATTTTTTTTATTTATTTAAGTCGAACAAATAATTGACGAAGAGAATATAGCACGACTTTGATTGATGAAGATTCTTTGTTGCATTAGTATGGACTAAGGTTTCATATGGAACAATTTATTGCATTAGTATTGTTGCGGGCAAGATTATACGCGGCGATAGAGTTTAATTTCTACGTCTTAGCTTTGCACTGATATCCAGCTCACACACAAATAACACAGAACTTTTACGTGGAAAACCCTACAAAGGGGAAAAACCATGGGGCCTAGCCCAATTGAAAAGATTTCACTAAAATTTGAAATGAGTACAGTGGGCTGACTCGTCCTTCGAAGGCGATCAGATTAAATATGTCAATCATATGGTTGAAGTTTAGTGTCAAATCTAGCATCACTTGGAAGTTTGGGCCCTAGGTTGTGGTTAGGCAGAAGTCTGGGCCTCAAGTGGAGGTCCAGCGGAGCTCAGGGCCTCAAGTGATGATCCGACAGAAGTGAGGTCCGCAAGTGGTGGTCCGGCGGAGGTGAGGGCCTCAAGTGGTGGTCCGGCGGAGCTCAGAGACTAAAGTGGTGGTTCGACGGAGGTGATAGCCTCAAGTGGTGGTCCGACGAAGGCGAGGGCCTCATGTGGTGGTTTGGCGAAGGTGAGGGCCTTAGGTGGTGGTTGTAAAACCCGCAAAAATGCCATTTTAGACCTCGCACGCTTTTCAAAGCACCGCGACGAGTTCTAAGTGAAAAATTCAAGTTTGTCGGATTTGAATGGAAGTAATTTTGAAAAATTCTATGCAAAATTCTAAGAAATTTGATATATAAAACTTATATTTAATTTTACATAATTTAGGAAATAAAAATTAGATAAGTCTCATAATACCCAAAGTACCCCTAGTGTTTATTAAGGCTTGGATAACTTAAGTGAGGGAAAGTTTTCTATTTTGGAAATCCCTTTTCTCCCTAAATGAACCAACCGAGCCCTCCTCTTTCATTTTCACGCATGGTTTGGCCGAAACTTGGAGAAGAGGGCAGACGGTAGAGGCGACGGGCAAGGGAGACGACCGGCTCCGGAGGCATTTTTCTGACGAAAAACTTAAGGGAAATTGAAGAGGAAGTCAAGGGAAGTAAAATGTATGTAATAGAACTATGATTTTCCATCTCTTTCTCAAGATTTTTGGATGAGAAAATTTCTAGGGTTTGAGGAAACTTTGAATTTCTTTAAGAATTTAAATGGAGGATTGTTAAGGAATATTAGTAGTGTTTTGATTGTAAAAATGAAGTTTCTCCAAGAATTTTTAGGGTTTTTAAAATTAGGGTTTTTTTCTAAAGTTGAAATTTTGAAAGTACTTTTATAAACTTGGTTCCTAAGGGTTCTATGATAGTTTCTAAGGGAAGAAATTGAGTTTTTCTTACAAAATTTATTTTCCTATTTTTCTAATTATTTTAAATTCGAAAATATATTAATTTATTTATGAATTAGGTGTAAGGGAGAGTTTGGCATGTTTATGTGAGGGAATCATTGAAAATGTGTTTTCCAAATTTAGGGTTTTAAGGTAGTTCCAAAAATAGTATTTATTTTAAATTTATAATGAGTGTAGGGAATGATGTGTGTGTTTCATTTAGGTGTTGAACACGTGGAAAGGAAGAGTTCGTAAGGATTTTTGGCGGAGCACGTTGTATTGAGGTAGGTAAATGTGGCACTTTTAAATTTAGAAGAAAATTTCAATTCTTTCCACCATAACATGTTTTATATTGTTGTGAAGATTTTTAGCATTCTTCCAATCATACTGCTTTTATATCTTATTAAGCTCGTATTGTCATGCACATATTTTCTATGGTTGCCTAATTATATGAACTCATTTGGTAATGGTTTAGAGACAATGTGTTATCTTACATTGCAAGTACACCTCTTTTGTGATGATATATATATTGCACTTGTTTCTTTCTAAAGTGATGAATAAAGAATGTACTTAGCTCTTTTTCTTTCCTCATGCTAACATGAAATTATGTAGCACATTAGGAGACAATTGACCATATGCATGAATAAGAATATTCCTATGAATAATTAAAGAACGAATATATGTGCATGTTGATGCGGAGGTATCTTTGGTAAATGGATGCTCTTCCGAGCATTGGTAAACAATGAACCAAATGGAAAAGGAATGACCAAACAAATTATACCTGATCAGTATAAAAGATACATCCGAGACGGGTGATTACAAAATGCATATAAAACATCTTATGATTCATGAAAATAATTCATGTATTATGTAAAGTGATTGGTTGCAAGCTCAACTAAAGAAAGAGGCTTAATGGTTTACCTAGAGGCATGTTACTTAACTTTTATGATTTGTTTAATGTTCTTACACAAAGCATTGACATACATGTTATTCCCCTCGCCTTGTTATCTAAATTTAATTGAAAAAGCATTTGCCTATTGAGTTATAACGCACTCATGTTGTGGGAAAATTTCAGGAGATCCTGCGAATAGATAATGACAGACCAACCACCGCGCACTTAACGTTCTATGGAGACGACGGGCGGCAGGTTCTTTTGAGTTTTATTATTTTGATGATAAAAGGTTGTATGTGTATATTTTTTTTGTGAGAGTTAGATTTGTTTGGATCCCTTCTTTTGGAAGAACTCTCTATATACATATTTCTTTTGAAAGATGAATGAAAAGTGAAAATTTTAATTGGATTTACTTTAGTGGCTCTTTTATTTTATAGTTGAAAATGCTTGGTTTTTGTTAGATCTTTTGATGATATGCTATGAAGGTTTATTTCCATCATGTCCGACCTCTGTTACCGCCTCGCACTTGCGAGCTAACCGGGCTGGGTCATGACAAGTGTGGTATTAGAGCAAAGGATTTGAGAATATTGATTTCATGAAAGAGCCAATAGGATGATCCTATAGGTTAGAGTAGATATAAGATGCATGTGCTATATATTTCTTAGATTGCTTTGTTGTATTGTGTCTCAGGACTGAGGAATCTAAACCTGATTCCACTGATGGTAATATTGGAGAGGTCAGGAGGAAATTACCAGTAGTAGTGGAGCCTCAGGGCAGTAGCATTAATGCTACTTTGGATTCTTTCATCCAAATGATGGCGGCTATGACACAGATGATAAAGAGTACTCAGATTCAAACTGGAGGTAGTGGAAGCACTATAATGGATAAGAATTTAAAGTTATTCCAAGATATGAAGATCCTATCATTCGCAGGAGGTGGACTATAGAGGCGGAGGACTGATTAATGAAGGTTGAGAAGATTTGGAAGGAATGTTATGCCCTTAAGATAGAAGGACTTCCTTAGCTGCTTATGCCTTCAATGGGGAAGTAGAAAGATGGTAGAAAAGTCAGCTAGAAGAAACTTTTGGTGGGAGACCTAGCAGCCAAGTGACATGGGAGGAGTTTGTTAAGGTGTTTAGAGATTGGTATGTACCAATGACTGATCGAAGGTCAATGCAAGACAAATTTATGAGATTGGTGCAAGGTGACAGAACCATTACGCAGTATGAGGCTGATTTCACCATGCTTTCTAGGTATGCTTCTCATATAATTCCTAATGCAGAAGAGAAATGCCACCGCTTCCTTTGTGGCTTGAGGGATAGCATTAGGCAGCCATTGGTTCCTTTGGGTATTGAAGATTACTCTTCTTTAGTTGAGAGAGAACGAAAGATTGAGCTAGATTTACAAAGTACTCAGAGGAGGAGAGACTTCCAGAAGAGGAAGAATGAAGATAGATCTAAATCTACCCAGTCTTTTCATTATAGAAGGCCTAATTGGAAGAAGTTTAAATCCAACATTTTATAGAGTAGCACTTCTACAGCTGTATGCAATAAGTGTGGGAGAACTCATAAGGGAGAGTGCCTTTCTGGCACTAATACATGCTACTGGTGTCATCAACCAGGGCATATGGCAAAGTCTTGTCTTCTCTTAGGACAAAAACCTACTACTGAGGCCAGAACATGTAACACTCTTCCTCAAAGGACAGCTGGCAGGCCAAGAACTATAGAGTCTACTAGATCTACCCAAATCACAAGGCCAAGCTTGTCCACCAGTTCAACCAAGAGTTTATGGATTGTCACAACAAGAGGCTAAGGATTCTCCTGATGTTATCATAGGTATGGACTTTATTTAATGTCAATGAATTCCTTTATAATGTATGAATAAGATGAGCTTTATGTTATGTTTCATGCATGATATTTAGGAACAATCTTTGTATGTAACAAGCCTGTTAAGGTGTTGTTTGATATGGGAGCAATACATTCTTTCATTTCAGAGGAGTTTGTTAAGTCTGATGGTTTGTTTTTCTCAAGTATGCTCAAGCCTTTATCAATCTTGATTCCTAATGGGAGTAAGTTGGAAACCAACAAAAGGTGTCGTGTGGAGTTGGTTATTGGTGATAGAATCTTGGGAGCAGATCTTATGTTATTGCCTTTAATGGAATTTGATATGATTCTAGTATGAATTGGTTGTCTTGCCACTTTGTGACCATAGACTGTAATAAGAAAGAAGTTAAATTTTGTATGCCAGGGGAGAAAGAATTTAAATTCATATGAAAAAGAGAAACAAATTCTATGATAATCTCTTCCTTGGTGGCATATAAATTGTTGAGGAAGGGTCACGAAGGCTTTCTAGCTTATGTTAAGGAAGAGAAGAAAGAAGAGAGGAGATTAGAGGATATATCTGTCGTGCAAGAGTATCCAGAAGTGTTTGCAGATGATTTACATGGCTTGCCTTCAAGCAGAGAGATTGATTTAACTATTGAGCTGGTTAGTGGAGCAGATCCTGTTGCCAAAGCCCCTTATTGGATGGTGATAAAAGAGTTGAAGGAACTGAAAGATCAATTGCAAGAATTGCTTAATAAGGGATTCATCAGGCCTAGCACTTCTCCTTGGGGTGCTCCTGTGCTTTTTGTGAAGAAGATGGATAGAAGTTTAGGGCTTTGCATAGACTACAGAGAATTGAAAAAGCTAACTATAAAGAATAAATACCCTCTTCTGAGAATTGATGATTTGTTTGATCAGTTGGAAGGGGCCTCTTATGTTTTCCAAGATAGACTTAAGATCAGCATACTATCAGCTTAAGATCAGAGAAGAGGACATAGCAAAGACAGTGTTCAACACTAGATATGGGCATTATGAATTTGTGGTGATGCCATTTGGACTTACAAATGCACCTGCAGTGTTTATGGACCTCATGAATAGAATCTTTAAGCCATTTATGGATCTATTCATGATAGTGTTCATCGATGATATATTGGTGTATTCCCCAAATGAAGAGATTCATGCAAATCACTTGAGGATGGTGTTAAATGCATTGAAAGGGAATGAATTGTATGCTAAGTTCTCCAAATATGAGTTTTGGTTGAAGAGTGTGAACTTTTTGGGACATGTGATTAGCAATGGAGAGATCTGTGTGGATCAGCACAAGGTACAAGCTATAGCAGATTGGCCACAGCCCACTACTGTGACGAAGATCAGGAGCTTTTTGGGTTTGGTTGGTTACTACAGAAGATATGTTGAGGGATTTTCTCGAATATCTATGCCCTTATCTAGATTCACCCAAAAGGCAGTGAAGTTTGATTGGTCAGATCAATGTGAAGGGGCTTTTCAGAGACTGAAACAATATTTGATGACTGCTCCAGTGCTTACTATTCCTTTAGGGATAGATGGATTTCAGTTTTATAGTGATGCCTCTCACAAAGGGCTGGGTTGTGTACTGATGCAGAATGGAAGGGTCGTTGCCTATGCTTATAGCCAACTGAAGAACCATGAAAGAAACTATCCAACCCATGATCTGGAGTTAGCTGCAGTGGTCTTTGCCCTAAAAATTTGGAGGCAATACTTGTATGGGATGAAGTGTGAAGTTTTTACTGATCACCAAAGTTTAAAATATATCTTCACACAGAAAGAGTTGAATTTGAGGCAGAGAAGATGGTTGGAGTTTATCAAGGACTATGATTTGGATATCCAATATCATCCAAGTAAAGCAAATGTAGTAGCAAATGCCTTGAGCAGGAAGACTTCCAGTAGCGCCAGTTGGATGATTACACAACAGCATGAGCTGATAAGAGATTTGGAGAAGCTAGAGATTTCAATAGTTCAGCCCAATGATGTAGAGTTTGTGGCTTTGAATCAGATGATCATTCAATCAACATTGAGGGATAATATAAGGAAAGCTTTGCCACAAGGTGTAGAATTTGAGAAAGTCCTAAATATGGTGAAGGTAGGACACGTGGAGAAGTTTGAGTTTGATGAGGATGAGCTACTACGGTATAGAGGTAGAATTTGTATCCCTGATGTTGGAAATTTGAGGAAAGACATTCTTCAAGAAGCTCACTATTCAAGTTACACCATTCACCCAGGTAGTAACAAGATGTACCAAGATTTGAAAAAATATTTTTGGTTGCCAGGGATGAAGAGAAGTGTAACAGAAGTGATGGCTAAGTGTACAGTTTGCTAGATGGTTAAGGTAGAACATCAAAAGCTAGGAGGTTTATTGCAGCCTTTACCCATATCGAAATGGAAGTGGGAAGACAGCCATAGACTTTGTAGTTGGATTACCCAGGTCCAGAAATGGTCATGATGTTATATGGGTGATAATTGATAGGTTGACCAAATCGGCACACTTTTTACCTATCAAGCAATCTGATGCTGTTGAGAAGTTGGAAAGTGTGTATGTTAATGAGATTGTTAGACTTCATGGTGTACCAATATCGATAGTATCAGATAGAGATGAGAGATTTACCTCTCGGTTGTAGAGGAAGGTTCAAGAGGCAATGGGCACCAGACTCACTTTCAGTATAGCCTTTCACCCTCAAATAGATGGTCAATCAGAGAGGACTATCTAGACCTTAGAGGATTTACTCAAATTATGTGTACTTTATTTTGGTGGCAAATGGGAGACACACATACCACTGATTGAATTTGCTTATAACAATAGTTTCCAATCAAGTATAGGTATGGCACCTTATGAAGCTTTGTATGGAAGAAAGTGTCGAACTCCTTTATGCTGGGCTGAGACAGGAGAAAGAAAAATCATTGGAGCTGACTTAGTAGATGATGCTACTGAAAAGGTAAGACTGATCAGTGACAGATTGAAGACTATGCAAGACAGACAGAAGAAATACTATGATGCCAAATACAGATAAGTTGAGTTTGATGTTGGAGAGTTTGTATTCCTCAAAGTTAGTCCTATGAAGGGTGTAAAGAGATTTGGCAAAGTGGGGAAACTGAGTCCAAGGTATGTTGGCCCATTTGAAATATCAGAGAGAGTTGGAAGTGTGGCCTACAGATTGGATTTGCCATCTCATATGAGTAGAGTACATAATGTATTCCACATCTCTTCTTTGAGGAAATACATTGCAGATGAAGCTCATAAGATCAATACTGAATCAATAGATATCCAACCAGATTTGACTTTTGTAGATGAGCCTGAGAAGATCATAGATTATAATGTTAAGCAGCTTCGAAGCAGAGAGATTCCTTATGTTAAGGTTCTTTGGAAGCATGGATGTGAGAGAGATACTATATGGGAGAAGGAATCAGAGATGAGCGAAAGCTACCAACACCTATTTGATTAAGGTATGATTCATTAATGCTTGTCTTAAATTTCGAGGACGAAATTTTTATGAGGGAGAATTGTAAAACCCACAAAAATGCTGTTTTAGACCTAGCACGCTTTTCAAAGCGCCTCGATGAGTTTTAAGTGAAAAATTTAAGTTTGTCAGATTTCGATGGAAATAATTTTGAAAATTTCTACACAAAATTTTAAGAAATTTCATATATAAAACTTATATTTAATTTTGCTTAATTTAGGAAATAAAAATTAGAGAAGTATCATAATACCCAAAGTACCACTAGTGTTTATTAAGGCTTGGATAACTTAAGTGAGGGCAAATTTGGTAATTTGGAAATCCCTTTTCTCCTTAAATGAACCAACCGAGCCCGCCTCTTTCATTTTCACGCATGGTGTGGCTGAAACTTGGAGAGGGCGGACAGTAGAGGCGACGGGCAAGGGAGACGACCGGGCTGGAGGCGTTTTTCCGGCGAAAAACTTAGGGGAAATTGAATATGAAGTCAAGGGAAGTAAAAAGTATGTAATAGAACTATGATTTTCTATCTCTTTCTCAAGATTTTTGGATGAGAAAATTTCTAGGGTTTGAGGAAACTTTGAATTTCTTTAAGAATTTAAATGGAGGATTGTTAGGGAATATTAGGAGTAGTGTTTTGATTGTAAAAACGAATTTTTTCCAAGAATTTTTTGGGTTTTTAAAATTAGGGTTTTTTTTCTAAAGTTAAAATTTTGAAAGTACTTTTACAAACTTGGTTCCTAAGGGTTCTATGATAGTTTCTAAGGGAAGAAATTGAGTTTTTCTTACAAAATGTATTTTCATATTTTTTTAATTATTTTAAATCCAAAATATATTAATTTATTTATGAATTAGGTGTAAGGGAGAGTTTGGCATGTTTATGTGAGGAATCATTGAAAATGTGTTTTCCAAATTTAGGGTTTTAAGGTAATTCTGAAATTAGTATTTATTTTAAATTTATAATGAGTGTAGAGAATGATGTGTGTGTTTTATTTAGGTGTTGAACACGTGGAAAGGAAAAGTTCATAAGGATTTTTGGCGGAGCACGTTGTATTGAGGTAGGTAAATTTGACACTTTTAAATTTAGAAGAAAATTTCAATTCTTTCCACCATAACATGTTTTATATTGTTGTGAAGATTTTTAGCATTCTTCAAATCGTACTGCTTTTATATTTTATTATGTTGGTATTATCATGCACATGTTTTCTATGGTTGCTTAATTATATGAACTCATTTGGTAATGGTTTAGAGACAATGTGTTATCTTACATTGCAAGTACACCTCTTATGTGATGATATATATATTGCACTTGTTTCTTTCTAAAGTGATGAATAAAGAATGTACTTAGCTCTTTTTCTTTCCTCATGCTAACATGAAATTATGTAGCACATTAGGAGACAATTGACCATATGCATGAATAAGAATATTCCTATGAATAATTAAAGAACGAATGTATATGCATGTTGATGCGGAGGTATCTTTGGTAAATGGATGCTCTTCCAAGCATTGGTAAAGGTGGTTCTTATGAACCAAATGGAAAAAGAATGGTCAAACAAATTGTACCTGATCAGTACAAAAGATACATCCGAGACGGGTGATTACAAGATTCATATAAAACATCTTATGATTCATGAAAACAATTCATGTATTATGTAAAGTGATTGGTTGCAAGCTTAACTAAAGAAAGAGGCTTAATGGTTCACCTAGAGGCATGTTACTTAACTTTTATGATTTGTTTAATGTTCCTACACAAAGCATTGATATACATGTTATTCCCCTCGCCTTGTTCTCTAAATTTAATTGAAAAAGCATTTGCCTATTGAGTTATGACTCACCCATGTTGTGGGAAATTTTTAGGAGATCCTGCGAATAGATATTGGCAGACCAACCACCGCGTACTTACCGTCATAGGGAGACGACGGGCAGCAAGTTTTTTTGAGTTTTGTTATTTTGATGATAGAAGGTTGTATGTGTATATTTTTTTTTGTGAGAGTTAGATTTGTTTGGATCTCTTCTTTTGGAAGAAATGTCCATGTACATATTTCTTTTGAAAGATGAATGAAAAGTGAAAATTTTAATTGGATTTACTTTAGTGGCTCTTTCATTCTATAGTTGAAAATGCTTGGTTTTTGTTAGATCTTTTGATGATATGCTATGAAGGTTTATTTCCATCCTGTTCGACCTCTGTTCCTGTCTCGCACTTGCGAGCTAACCGGGCCGGGTCGTGACAGTGGTTCGACGAAGGTGAGGGCCTTAGGTGATGGTCTGGCGAAGGTGAGGGCTTCAGGTGGTAGTATGACGAAGGCGAGGATCTCAAGTGGTGGTCCGCGAAAGTGAGAGCCTCAGGTGATAGTCTGGCAAAGGTGATGGCCTCAGGTGGTGGTTCGACGAAGGTGAAGGCCTCAGGTGGTGGTCCGGCGGAGCAAGGACGTCAGACAGCGGTCCAACGAAACTCACGTGGTGGTCAAGGAGGAGCTTCTTCCTTCTTTTCATTCTCTTCTCTTCTTCTCTTCTTTCTTTTCTCTTCTTCTCTTCTTGCTTGGGTCCCTTTTCAAGAGAAAGGAGAAGTCTATTTATATATTTATGGAGTGGTATGACCTGTAAATAGATGGGAGATCAAGGGCAAATGGGGAGTGGTTGGATGGACGACCGATATTGAATCCCTTGATCATGGACCATTTAATGGACATTTGAATGTCTTAGTGATGTTGGAATTTGGTGATGTTGGCTCGTTGGATCTGTCTCGTCGAGTCGCTCGATTCGACTATAAGAATGTTATATTTGGAAACCATTTGGTAATCCAAATTGTGGTTTAAACCTTCCAACAAAGCTTCTAACCCTTGATTTGGACCCATTTGAGTTCGGATTAGGTTGGATTTGGTGTCGTTGGGTTCTTATTCTTGAGACGTTTAGTTTGAATGTAAGTTTGCTGAAATTGGAGCTTGGATGGCCTCAATTTTAATTTCAGAAGTTTCCCACTTGATTTTTCATTGAGATTCATGCCCGATCAAGATAATTTTTTTATGATGTATTATTTGCCCTCCTATTTTTGGATGTCGAAGCTCCAGAAGTCCAAAAATATGTGTCGCAGCCTATGTGGTATTTCTTTGGTGATTTGAAAAATTTAGTGTAGAGGTTCCGGATGGCATTGGAAGTGCCAAAATTGAATCCAAAACATCGAAAAACGGTTCCAAAGACTTAAAAAATGTGCAGCTTGGCCTTTTTAGACCCAAATTTGGGCCAAAAAATATCATAAAAGTTATAATTTAAATTAAAAAATAGAGATAGTTATATCAATTCTTCCTTGGTTGATAAGTGGTAAAGCTTTTGGCATCCTTGCCCAAGGTCTTGGGTTCGAATCCTGATGGAGGCAAGGATTTTTTTTTTATGGTAATAACGTGGAAGCAACGCGTAGGACAGGGCAATGACGTGGTAGCGATACGCAGGATGGATCGATGATGTGGCAGCGACATGCATGACATATTGATGATGTGGCAGTGACACGCAGGATGGATTGATGATGTGGCATTAACATGCATGACAGATGATGATGTGGCAATGATACATAGAATGGATTGATGACATGGCAGTGACATGCATGACAACTCGATGACAATGCAGTGACACGAAGGGATGATTGATGATGTGGCATCCATATCAAGTATGGACTAAGATTTTATTTGGAACACCTTTTTACTCTTTTCTAAAATAACTTTTTAGTACAAAATAAGTTAGAATTAAAAAATTTTATACTAAAAAGCTGAGGGACTTTTATCTTGTTGACTTTGAAAGAGGCCATCTAATGCCTTATATTAAAGAGTGATAATTAAAAAAATAAGTCAGGTCCAGCGTAACAAAATCTATATGTTTTACTTAGCTCCTTAATTAGTTTTGCCCAAGCTAAAGCTAAAGCTAAAGTTATGGTTCTTAACAAACTATATATTGTTAGAATAATATTTAAATCTAATAGGGCTTATAAACCATTAGCTAAGTTGAACCCAACAAAACTAAAAAATTCTTTTCACTAGTTTATGAGAGTAAAGTTACTCTGAGGTTTTAGAATTGGTGGCTGTTTGATTTGAAGTTTTTTTTTAAATAAAATGTCAGTAGCATTAAAATAAAAAATTTATTATAACCTAATAATGAAAGGCTAAACCTTCCCATTCTTCTTTTAATAAAGACAAAAAAAGGAGGAAATAAACGCAACTAATATCATCTCATATAAATCACTAAAAATAACATAGTTAGTACACAAATCAGCTAACTTATTACAACTCATATTAGTAAAATTGAATTCAACTTGATTGAACTCCTTTAGAAAAGAAATATCCTCTAGCAAGTGATTAGCCTTCCAGTTGTTACTAATATTCGAACTTTGTAGTAATTTGATAATATTGAAATTGTCCCCTTAAATAACAATACATTTTGCTTCCATCATCCAACCTTGGACAACCTTCTTCAAAGAGCGAATTGCCATCAGCTCCAACTGAGCTACATCCCATTGTAAACAACTAAAACCAAAAAAAGGCAAAAAACCTTCCTTTATGATCTCTGAACACTCCACTAATTCAAGCTTTATTAGAACTTAAAAGAGAAGCATCAATATTAATCTTTAACAATTCAGGTGGAGGGTGCCAAGAAGAAAACAGCTGAGATAGCTGATTAACACCCTAGTTTTCTGAATGTATATACAACAGAGATGACGCCGAAGCAAAGGTGATATTCACAACAATAAAATCCGAACTATCCTCCTTTCCGCCATGAATTAATTTGTTCCTACTCTTCCAAGAAAAGAAAACTGATGTACAATATAAATTTGCAATGAAAGGATTAGTATATGAAATTCTATTTTCAGTGCAATTCACAAAGGAGGAAAAAATCGACACTTGGAAGCCCCAATTGTTAAGAACATTTATAACATGAATAAGTTTGGAACAATTAGCTGCTATGTGGCTCATGTCTTCAACAGTAAAGCATACTCTTGGAAAATT